AAAATACATTACAGATTAAACTTCATTCCAAGTAAAAAAAATTTTTTATTTCATTGAACAAATCGGCAATTACTTAGTTGCCAACCCAATACATATGTACTCTCGATCAAAGAGGAAGTATAAAGTATAAATCACCGTTTCGAAAAATTTCAGAGCGTCTACGATTGGTTATTTATGGGGTTACTATTGAGTTAGCGAGTTCTTTATTGAGCCTGTATTCATTTTCTAACTTCTTTTTTGTGGATCAGGAACGAGCAGGCTCGAACACGTTCGAACACGTTCCTGCAGCTTGCACGTGCATCGTGAAAAGTGAACTGAATGGTGCAGGTTCGAACCTGCACCGAGAAAAGCAGGTCGATTCGTTGCAGCGCGTTTTACCTCCACAGAATCTGCCGTGACCAAAGACTTCTGGCAACGAGGAAACAGCGTGCTCGAACGCACACAGCTCGAACGAATATTACGTTGTTATATTTCACATATAGAAATACGTTGTTGGTGAACTTCTCTGCCTTGCGATCGATTCAGACAGACTTTATTTAACCATGAAATAAAAAATTACGACATAAAAATTTTCTGGTCTCTTAAAAAATCTTGCATTGTTGTTTCCGATGTGACGAAACGTATGTACGCTATTTCCTTTCCACAAAATCATTTGTACCGCAAGTTTTAGAAGTCAACAAATAAATACACAGTTTTATAAATTATCTATTTTCAACGTTTCAAGTAACACTAAGTGATCTTGAATGCTCGAACAACCACGATCGAAAAATTCCCATTAATATATTCACTCACTACACATTATTCGTACGTACAATATTCTCAATAAACCATTTCATTTCATTTTTTCTTTTTTTGAAATGCGTATCGATCATCCTATCATATCAATCGACAGAAAAGAAGTGATACATATTGAAGCGATAATACTGACACGATTTAGTGTATAAATAACGATTTATATAAATAACAATTTATAAATAATGATTTATAGAAATAACGATTTATATAAGTAACGATTTAATTTATTAATTCGGTAATATAATCCAATCTAATTCGATAATACACACACTGGCACGATTTAGTGTATAAATAACGATTTATATAAATAACAATTTATAAATAATGATTTATAGAAATAACGATTTATATAAGTAACGATTTAATTTATTAATTCGGTAATATAATCCAATCTAATTCGATAATACACACACTGGCACGATTTAGTGTATAAATAACGATTTATATAAATAACAATTTATAAATAATGATTTATAGAAATAACGATTTATATAAGTAACGATTTAATTTATTAATTCGGTAATATAATCCAATCTAATTCGATAATACACACACTGGCACGATTTAGTGTATAAATAACGATTTATATAAATAACAATTTATAAATAATGATTTATAGAAATAACGATTTATATAAGTAACGATTTATATGAGTAACGATTTATATAATAAAGAATCGTCAATTAGGAAGAATTTACTGTACTATCGGCGACATCATGGTCGGTCAAATAGCATCGATGGAAACGTATTGATGTAACGATTGCGGATGATTCGATACGAACCGCTACAATTCTAACCCACTCATTTGTCCCCGATTGCTAAAATTCCACTAAAATTCCACGAAAATATCAAGTTGCTTCATAACAATTTCGCAGAGAGCACCAGAGCATCCAGAATATCAACGCAACGTTACGCCGTCCGTACCGTTAACAGGATTAACCTGCTGCCGGCGATCCCTTAACCCACATTCTCAACCCTTTTACCTGGTGCCGGTCCGAAAGGGTTAGCGGATATACCGGTCGACAATGCAAGGAAAGGGTTCGGCCGTAGAAAAGGAGTTCACCTGTGAAAGGGTTACGGTCGCGGGACAAAAGAACGAGCGGTCGGGAATCGTCGCGTCGTCGTCGCCGCCGCGGACAAGTGCAACGGGATAGAAAGGGTTAATCGCATGCTCGTATCACGAGGCGATAAGAGACGTTTTGCAGCCGTTCGACGTTGAGTCCGCGCGCGGCCACGTAATCGCAGCTGGTCTTTTCCACAAAACAGGAAAAGAAAGGCTGCACATGTCGGTTCCGAGACAGCTGCGGAAAGCGTATTTTCTCGACGGCGACCAGCACGTCGCTCGACGCGTTCGCTGCGTGCTCAAAGGAGAGAAAGAGTATCGGGTGGTATAGTGGAGCAACCCTTCGAAAAAGAGATCGAGCGCAGCTTCTTTCATCGGTCGATTCGTCTCGTGGCTCGATCGAAGTGTCCCCTCGCGATTGCGTCCCACAGAGAGCTCCACGCACGCACGCACACAGCCGCGCGGGTGCTCGCCGATGCACGTGTGCCCTTTTCGCAGGTTTGACCCTTTTCACCTGGATTTCACCGGTTCGATTCCGGGCCGGTACGCGCGGGGGTGGCGGCGGTGGCCGTTGAAAGCGGGAACTCGAACAGACCCCATCTTGCCTACCCCGTACGGTAGCCCATTCAACGATGCAAGATATGCATCTACGGGCCTGAATAGGCCTGGAAATAACGAAATTCCGCCGGAGAATTTCATGATTTTGAATAATATTGCATCCCCCTTTCACCGGTGTCGGATGAACCTTTCCAAAGAATTGAAAGGGTCCGCGTCCACAGGCTTTACGGCCGCCCCTTTCTTATTGTGCTGTCCCCGAAAGTTCTCCGGACCGGTCCGCGGGACAAAGGATTCTGCGTGATTCCCGCGGATGGACAGCCGAGGTGAACCGTAGAAAGGATTTACCAACCGACGGACCTGTGGCGTTGCTTTCCCGATATCATAGATAGACCGTAGGAAGATGCGAAACTGTACGAGCGGTGCGCGAGCGCGATTCACGATCCTGCGGCTACGATGAAAAATGTTGTAACGGACCGGTAGTGACGTCTGTTAGACACGGAACATAGTTATGCACGTTGTCGTGTAAGCTTTCATTAGGTTATATTTATTTATATATTAGGTTAAATATATTAGGTTAAAGATGTTCGGTTTTGTTTAACGCCGCCTCTCTCTTGTTTCGTCAGTCGAACTGTAAACACGCGTCGATTCTACTGTGATCCAAAGAGCGTATTCCGAAGGGTGTCAAATGTATTAATTTATCGAAACTAAAAACTACAACTGAAAACATCGTAGGTCACGATTTCAAAAGATTTCAGTTTATATGAATTACGTATTTATCAGGAGAAATGTTATCGAGACGAAAATGCAACGGTCGCTTCCAAGTGCTGTAACTTTGCGAACAAAAATCGCAGTCGAGTTTCTTCTTCTTTTTTTAAATTGAAGGGGAAGGATCGAACTTCAATCGACTGTAAATGGCATCTCGAGAAAAAAGAATTTTACAAAAGCTCTGCATTTTGTCAAACTTGGCGATTTTTAACATGACAAACATGTCCACGCATTTAAAGGGTTGTAATTGCGAGGGTGCACGAAACTTAAAATCGAGGGACAATATCTTAAAGTAGAGGTTTTAAGCTTTAAGTTAAAAAGAAAGTCATCATCCTACGATGATTTTTCACGGAGTTATAGTCAGTCGAAATCGACCAATGTTTGTCGAAGATTTTTCGTTTCTTTTTCATTATAATTTGTTTATTATATATTCAAATATTTCTTTTTATAATTTTTACAATTCATTAAAACATTGCAGATAGTTAAACCATGGGTATGAAAAATAATATTCTATATTAATTCACCTTATTATAAGACCCAAGAAATAATCGAATAATGAATTTTGACAGATAAAATTGTTTGACTCACCTACTGATGAGTATCTTGAACTAGATGATGTTATCACTCCACTTTTGATGTAGCTGTAACAGAATAACGAGAGAAAAATTTGAAATAATATGANCTTTACGGCCGCCCCTTTCTTATTGTGCTGTCCCCGAAAGTTCTCCGGACCGGTCCGCGGGACAAAGGATTCTGCGTGATTCCCGCGGATGGACAGCCGAGGTGAACCGTAGAAAGGATTTACCAACCGACGGACCTGTGGCGTTGCTTTCCCGATATCATAGATAGACCGTAGGAAGATGCGAAACTGTACGAGCGGTGCGCGAGCGCGATTCACGATCCTGCGGCTACGATGAAAAATGTTGTAACGGACCGGTAGTGACGTCTGTTAGACACGGAACATAGTTATGCACGTTGTCGTGTAAGCTTTCATTAGGTTATATTTATTTATATATTAGGTTAAATATATTAGGTTAAAGATGTTCGGTTTTGTTTAACGCCGCCTCTCTCTTGTTTCGTCAGTCGAACTGTAAACACGCGTCGATTCTACTGTGATCCAAAGAGCGTATTCCGAAGGGTGTCAAATGTATTAATTTATCGAAACTAAAAACTACAACTGAAAACATCGTAGGTCACGATTTCAAAAGATTTCAGTTTATATGAATTACGTATTTATCAGGAGAAATGTTATCGAGACGAAAATGCAACGGTCGCTTCCAAGTGCTGTAACTTTGCGAACAAAAATCGCAGTCGAGTTTCTTCTTCTTTTTTTAAATTGAAGGGGAAGGATCGAACTTCAATCGACTGTAAATGGCATCTCGAGAAAAAAGAATTTTACAAAAGCTCTGCATTTTGTCAAACTTGGCGATTTTTAACATGACAAACATGTCCACGCATTTAAAGGGTTGTAATTGCGAGGGTGCACGAAACTTAAAATCGAGGGACAATATCTTAAAGTAGAGGTTTTAAGCTTTAAGTTAAAAAGAAAGTCATCATCCTACGATGATTTTTCACGGAGTTATAGTCAGTCGAAATCGACCAATGTTTGTCGAAGATTTTTCGTTTCTTTTTCATTATAATTTGTTTATTATATATTCAAATATTTCTTTTTATAATTTTTACAATTCATTAAAACATTGCAGATAGTTAAACCATGGGTATGAAAAATAATATTCTATATTAATTCACCTTATTATAAGACCCAAGAAATAATCGAATAATGAATTTTGACAGATAAAATTGTTTGACTCACCTACTGATGAGTATCTTGAACTAGATGATGTTATCACTCCACTTTTGATGTAGCTGTAACAGAATAACGAGAGAAAAATTTGAAATAATATGATTTTTGT